GGGAGTAATTTTTGTCAACAAAATATCGATGCGTTTGCCTTTCCCCACCAACCACCTTTTTCCAAAGGCTTTGGTGACCCTCTGCTGCAATGGCAACACATCGACACTGGCCGGGCGACACTAGCTGGTCTCCGACTCCCGGAGGCACAATGGCAGCAGATGATGGTTATACGCGGAGGTTGCGGGTCGGCGCTTGCGCAAGGGCTCGCGGGGGGAACACTCTCGCACGCACGCGCACTTCATATACACGGCGCACAGCATGCAAACAGCCAAAACGGCGAATTATGGTCTTTAGGCCGTCACGCGTCAACGTCATAAAGACTTCCAGGTTGGGATGAGAGGCATAAATGAAATTTCGTAACGAGTCGTCACACTACAACACAACGCGCCGCAACGGGGCGGGGCGGGAGGTCATCTCGTGCAAGTGCCGTATGCGCCCGTACCGCCCCGCCCCGCTAAGCCCCGGCCCCGCCCGATACGCATAACTGGAGCCATTGAAGCGGGCGATGCACAGAACAAACACAAAATGAGGCATATCTCCCCAATGACACACCGCCACTATCGTGACAATGCCGTTTGCTATTGACTCGGCGTGGTCAGCAGGATACGCCGGCCCGGCCCGCCCGGCACACTGTTTTCACTACGGGCATTGCATTTTCATACCGCTATACGCTCAAAAGCTTCTGAAAAGACGTAAAATGAAAGCTAACAAAGCTGCTGAAAATTTCACGCAAACAGGAAAAGACTTTGGGTTGCAGTGAGTTATTTTGCTATCCATTCGCAGACCGAAAACAGACTTAATCTGTAGGTCTATAGGAACCTTCCTGAACAGATGTGGTCGGCTGGCGGGCGAGTCTGGCGCGCGGGGGCGTCGCTTTCACGCTCTGCACGCAGATCAGTTTGCAATAAGATGCATGCCCGGCGCGGCGTTCCCACGCTGCTGCTGCTGCTCCGCGCAGCCGCAAGCCGGTGTACGAACTTGGCGCGCTGCAGCGGGGCAGTGGCGAAAAAGATGGATAGAGGTAAAAGCTAACTGTGCCGGTGACGAGCAGTTGCAACGGCGGGCCTCCCCGGCGCGTGCTCCAGGACGGGACAGTACTGGCTGCCAGCTGGACGGGAGCTGGAAGAGGTGACACCTGGCCGTCAAGACGTTATTTACTGCCGATTTTATACGCGAGGAGGCACGTCGTTTGGATTTATGGAGTTCGGAAGTTTTAATTTTTTTGTCTTGTTTTGGTTCGATCTGGTTTGGTTTGGCCGGGTCGTTGACTTTCCTCGCCTCTGGTCGGAAAGCGCGTGTGCAAAAAGCACACCTTCGTTTATGCAACCCGCGCGGCCAAGAGAGGGGCGGTTTATCTTGATTCCCACAAAGTTGGAGTATAAAAAGAAAAGTAAGGCTTGGGGGGAAAGACGACGTTATAACGTTCCGTAAGACGGCGGGCTGTGCCGAGGGCTGTGCAGCCCATTAGGCGGGGTGCCTGGCTAGTACCAGATCCGACTGAACCGAACACTAACCTTATACTTGCACGGAACACATCTAACGCGCCTCATCTTGGGAAGCAAAACTGGTCATCGCTTATGGCTACCCCGCCAGACGCCCTGAGATCAGTAAATTAGATCCATTCCGCCGCTCCTGCGAAAAATGTTTCATGCATTTTCGCATGAAATTGAGGCAACTTCAAGACATCAGAGTTTAAAGTCCTCATTAGCCTTGCTATGTGCCAAGACAAATAGTTTGCCATGAAGCCACGATGATTTAGGGGCAACGTCCTACACTGCAAAAGTTGAAGAAAAACACAACCTACAATATTTTTTTTCTAAAGACTGCCGTGGGACCGAAACCACTTTACTTCCTTACAACCACTCACAACCATGTCGAGCCTTCCACGTAACGTAATGCGACATGCGACCTGACCTTACGACTCACCGCAGCTCTGTGTCACCACCACCACGCCCCGCCCTCCGCCCCACCCCGCCCTGCCACGGCACAATGAATCTGATGAACCTCCAAGCAGGCCGCGAGGCGGGCGGGGCGGGGCCGGCAAGGTATAGTAGTACTCGACCCGCAGCTGGC